GTTACGACTTCCTGCTGTTGTCAGAATTTAAGGACCAGCGAAAGCCAAGCAGAGGGGATTAAATCAGAAGAGCTAATAATACTGAGGTTGCTTTGTTGCAGAAATAAAAAAAATTAATGAAAAGAGAAATAATTTGATCTGAAAATGATGTCAAATCATGTCTACACTGGAAAAACAATCTAGAAATAAGTATTTGCCATAAATTTGAGTAGGTAAATGAGATAGTTTGCCAATGGAATGAGTAACGCTAACTCAACTACAGAAAAATGAAAGTAATAAACTCACCGTTAAGTTAGCGTTAGCTTGCATGACCGGCTCCGTCATGCTGGTTTTCCTTCCGTATTTCATTTGCTAGCCACTAATTTCTCGTTCTTTGCTTCCCTTTAGGAGACGATCAAAAGAGCAGTCCATCACCATCCACATGGGCTTAGCCGTGTCTCTGGCCGTCCTCAGCCTGTTCTTCTTCTTTACTGGGGTTCTGGGCAACGTGGAGGTGGAGAGCATGTGTAGCTGGGTGGGCGCCATGCTCCACTACGCCCTGCTCAGCTCCCTCACCTGGATGGGGATAGAAGTGTTCAACACCTTCTGGATGGTCTACATGGTGTTCAGGCCGTCCCCGAGACCCTTTGTGTGGCTCCTCATCGGCTTTGGTGAGCGTGTGAAGGATCGTTTAAGGAAATGAATTTAAGGTTGATGCTAAGCTTTAGTTCTCTCCCAGGTCTCCCAGCCGTCCCGGTTGCCATCCTCTCTCGTGTGGGAAACATCTATGGCGTTGTAGAGATCGTGCCAGCCGACGACATCTCCACACCGTATCGGATGTAAGCTTCATCACAGCTGATCTATCATTTGTAGATCCGTCTTTGGACAAACAAGCAGTCCTTTCTAACTGAGAAATGGAAGCTGTACTGATCATCTAGAGGAACGTCACTCCTTTCAGTTTCTAGATTAATGGTTTGGTTTTTCTGCAGGTGTTGGATGAACATGAGCGACCAAAAGACAATCCTGGCTGCATCGTTCACCACCATGACGATGCTGGTCATCTTGGTGTTCTCTGGGGTCATCATGCTGTTCCTGGTCTACCGGGAGATCCGCACCAGGGACGAATGGAAGCAGAGCAGAGTGGCTTTCCTCAGCATCTGGGGCCTGAGCTGCCTCTTTGGAACAACTTGGGGTCTCATCTTCCTGAACTTCAGTCCCCTCGCTGACTTTTACAACTTCCTCTTCTGCTTCCTGAACTCTTTTCAAGGTTTGTGCTGATGGTGGACTTCCTGTTCTGGTTACAGTCTCTCTCAAGCTTCTCCCACTGACTGGAGACTCTATTGTTTGACTTTGTGAACTTTTTGAAGGACGGGGACGTTTTCATTGTTCTCTCGGAGATAATGGTCACGTGTTTGTTGATAAGGGTCCCTTCTGTCAGTGTGGGAATGATAGAGCGGGCTTAGCTAATCAAGGTCTCTGTTAGGAATAAAGATGCTTCCTCACACTAAACCTTATTATCCACAAACTTGTTATTTTCAGCTCCTTTTTTTATATGCTTGATCAAATCTGACAGCAGAGAGAAGATTAAACACAAGCAGAACACAATAGACTGACCCAAAACTAAAAAAAATAAGCTAGAAAAGCACAATAAGAGCGCAGACCAAGCAGCAAACTTTAAACTCGCACATGATCTGAATTATTAACAAATTATAATTATTTGTTCGTTAGCATGAGCCATTTCTTGTAGTTAAAAAAAACCTCTAAAATCAGTTAATAAGTTTTCAAATAATCCTGCTAACAAACCAACATGATTCCCTTTTCTTTTGTTTTTTTGTCTTCAGACTTTTTGAGTCCGATGCAGAGGCTGTCAATAGCCACTGCTGCCACCTTCTGGTTTAGTGCGGAACTGCTTGTTCCTCCAAATATCCCTTTCTCACTTTGTTAAAAAAAAAAAAAAATCCTGTATCCAGATTCTGATTTAGATCGTCACCAAAAGTTAATGGATTTTTCCTTGGAATGAGATAAAAATCTCATTAAAATCCATCCATAGCTTTTTAATTTTCTATTTTAAAAGCAGAAAAATAAAGGAACTTGATAGTTTTAGGATCGCTTTGTACAGCGGGTGGTTAAGTTTATACTTTTCTCACATTATCCACTCATTTTTGGATCCGTCTGCATCATTTTTTGTTTTTTTGGACGAATTTGCAGTCCTTCCATATTTTTTTAATTTATTAATAATCTTATATTGATTTTTTTTCTGTTTTTGATTGGATATTTTTTATGAAGAAAAAAATCTGCTCCCTTTAGGTCCGTATTAATTTCCTTTTGGTTTCCTTGGTAATTAACTACAGTATTAGTTCCTGATCAGTTACTCTTTGTTTCCAAGGTAACCAAGGCTTAGTCCCATTATACACTGCAAAAATGATCTAGAATTAAGTAAAAATGTCTTAAATTAAGGGTATTTACCTTAATTTAAGTGGGTAAATACGATGATTTGCCAATAAAATTAGTATCTTTACTCTTAAAATAAGATAATTAGATAATATGAACTTGAAATAAGACAATGCAATTGTTTTTTCTTCTTTTACACTGGAAAAAATCGAAATCTAGATAAGTCATTCTTTCTTAAAATAAGTGCATTTGTTCTTGGATTGAGGAGGTAAAAGAGACATTTTGCCAATGGAACAAGACAATTTTCATTTAAAATAAGAAAAAATAATTGCATTGTCTTATTTTAAGTGCATATTATCTAATTATCTTATTTTAAGAGTAAAAATACTCATTCCATTGGCAAACTACCTCTTTTACCTACTGAAATTAAGGGTAAATACACTCAATGTAAGACATTTTTGCTTATCTCTAGATCGTTTTTCCAGTGTGAATGTAAATTGTCTTGTTCCATTGGCAAAGTGTCTCACTTTCGTCCTCAATTGGAGAAAAAATGCACTTATTTTAAGTAAAAAAATGCATTTTTTTGCAGTGTAAGGAACTACCCATTAGTTCCTTATTATTTCTCTAAGCATCTCTAGTAGTTGATGTAATTGTGTGAACGCTACTGTAAAGTGTTAACCACTTTATTTAAAATCATGCTATCCTTAAAAGAGACGATGAGCAGATTATAGAAAATAAATCTAAATCATTAATTTCAGTCATCAGAATGGTTGATGTCTCAGTTTTGTACCAAATTTAAAAAATCCATGTCTGTAAAAGCATGAAGGAGGGAATGAACCCTGTTATGTTCTGTCTCCCAGGTTTCTTCCTGATGGTGAGGTTCTGCATGCTGGACTGGATCCGCAGACAGGCCAGCAAGTCGGTCCTGGGCAGCACCAGCTCTGGATCTGTCAAACAACACATGCTGCAAACCACAGAGAAGAGTTAACCGCACCGAGTGAAACACGTGGAGTCCAGTTTAACCTGTTTATAAAAAAAAGAAAATGATTATGAGATTATGGGAGTCTGTTCTGAGATCATATCAACGTAAACGAAAAGATTCCCTCTAGATCCAGTGTTGTCAGGTCGGGTGAAGATGTGTGGGAGTTTATGCTGTAATGTACCAGCTCACCTGGTGAGACTCCGCCCATCGCTCTGAGCGTCCAGGTTATGATGAGGGAATGAAATCCCTTATAAACTACTGATTGTATCCTATTAAGCTTAAAGAGAGTCTCATACAGACCAGAATGTTATCCAAACACCTCTATATCATCATTATATCTGATTCTAATCCATCAGCCATAATAACATGACCGACCATCTGATTATATGAAATCGATCAGCTTTACGTCTCCAGAAGACCTCTGGACTGTCTGGTCTCTGACGAAGGACAGCTGGCTTTGTTCTGTTAGGGTCTGGCTCTGAAATGTGAATATGAATTTACTTCCTATAGATGCAACAAAATGCATATTTTTCAGAACACATTTAAATCATCTAAGATGAATTCATAGTGGCGCCAGATGGGGGACGACGAGTCCATGAAGCAATTTTCTGGCTAAAGAGGCTTAAAATTCCATCAGATGTTTAAAAATAAGCTGAGCAAATTAATTTGGATAAACCCTGTGTGATGACAGGCCAATCAGAACGTCTAAATGCATTCTAGCAGGCAGTGAACACACCGTAACCAGGCTCTACTAGGTCACACTGTAACACTCTTCAGTGTGGGAGGTGTTACAGAATGAAAAAGACTTCCAAATTATTTATTATCAGCAGAAGGGAGGTGTTTGTTAATAATCTCAAACAGTTTTAGGAAGCTGTTTTTCAGAAAGATTTGCTCTTTACTACGTTTAAGAACCGTCCAACTATATCTGATTGAATCAGCCTGTGAGAGAGAGCCAGACTAACAGCCGATAACAGGAAGGCTCGACTTATTACAGCTTTATCCAGCCTGTTTGTTGAGGAATTTGCTGGATTAGAAAATGTTCGAACTCTCCTGTTGTTGATGATACACATGGAGACTGCTAGCAATGCTAACAGCTAATATAAGATTCAAAAGTCTTTTTACTATATTATTTAGGGATGCAGGATATAATCGGCCCCCTATCGGTATCGGCCTTAAAACTGAATATCGGACATCGGCCACCCCAC